GCAACTGTATAATGTATTTGCTTACGAATAATTGAATTAGAAAATGTTATACATAAAATTTCATAAATAATTACTTTATATATAGGCCTACAGTTTGAATCGTGTGATTAATTATTTTTTTAAAATTACAATACAGAAACAAATACAACTGATGTGGCACCTCTATTTAAATTTACTTATGAGCAAACTGCGTAGTGGTGGGGAAATTTTGACAAGGTCAACAAAGTCATCACAATGAAGTAGTAGTATTCTTACAGTTTGGGCGATAGTGATTACGATTACAAATTATATGTAACAGTTACAACTCCCCTCCTCCATGGCCCCTCTGTAAAAAAAATATTGTCATAATACCACTGCTACTTATTTAAATCTATTTCTGTAATATATATTTGTGTAAAATATATTTGCGTAATATATATGTATGTTTAGAACAGTCATCTAAAAACTGACGCTATGTTCACTCTCAGTTGGTTATCTCCCCCCCCCCCCCCCCCCCCCAGACACACCTCACCACCACAATTGTGTAGAGCTACATGTCACACCTAGGTAAACACTGGGTTGAATAATTGACCTAAAGTGACCGGACAGTGGTGAATGAAGTTTAACCCCGCCCCTTAACCCATCCCAAACTGATCTGTTAAGTACATGTAGAAAAACGCGTAATGATGTACCAAAGTACCATGCCGCCAGAAATTTAGATTTTTAAACGTAAAACTCCGTGAATATTGTTTTTGCAATTACCAGTAAAAAGTAGTGTGATCATTACAGTGATCTAACCCATACCTATCACTATGTTAAAAAATGATCTTTAAAGAACACAAAGAAGCAGTAGATAATTAAAAACATATGATTTGAACTAAAGACCTATTTAGTTAAATGTAAGCTACTGTTCAGAGTGTTTTTCTTTATATCAAAAAGCGTGGTTTTATACAAACTCTAACTTTAAAAACCTTTCATTATGCTGTAATACTTTAGCATTTATGATGACGATATATTAAATTCTGATTATAGACAAAAACACTTTGTAAACACGAATAGTGTTAAACAATTTTATTGTATTCTAAAGTAATTATTTATTTGTTTTGACATTTATAATTAAATGTGTAAATATATACATAGTTATATTAAGAGAGTGATTATTTCCCCTATTTCACTTGTCTTAAATAATTTCCCAGAATTTATTATGTAAGAATTTTTTTTTACAAGAATTACAAAACAGATAGTGTTACGTTTATTGTTTTTGGTTGTAGTGTGTATATATACTTTTTTTTTGTTTAGATTGATACAATTTTTGTTTTTTCGGCATGCATTGTGTGTTTTTTCTTATTTCTTCAGAGTGCTACTTTCAATTTATTTTACATCATAGTGAAGTAATGACATACAGCTAGTAATTATTTATATATATATATATATATATATATATATATATATATATATATATATATATATATATATATATATATATATATATATATATATATATATATATATATATATATATATATATATATATATATATACATATATATATATATACATATACATATATATATATATACATATATATATATATATATATATATATATATATATATGTATATATATATATATGTATATATATATATATGTATATATATATATATATACTTTACATGTCCCTGTTAAAGATTTAATTGTGCAGAACCCCCGTCCACCATTTTAATACATGTTTAATTGATGAAATAGTTGATGTGTGTTGGATTCATTAGACATGTTTGAGCTTTAACCACCAGCGGGTAGTTGTGGAGACTCTCAGTGCAGCCAGTGATCTCTATAGATTCAACACGACACATGACAAGTGCTGGTGATAGGAGTAGCTCATTCCGGGGTACACACCTCGACACACTCAGTCTTGTGGGGGAACGGGTGTGTGTGGCGCTGGGGTGGAATATCACTGTCACATCTGTGGGATCCAGATGTAGATCTGTAACTAAGTGTGTTGTCAGCCTTATGTCAAGCCCTGCGTCTTTAGGTGCATTTGAGGGCGGGCTTAATGCAGGTTTGTCCCTTCAGGGTTGGCTTTACTCAAGGTTGTCTTGGTAAGGACCGGCTTGATGCAGGGTTGTCCTCATAGGAGTAACTGGTTGCAGTGTTGTCCTCATAGGGGAACTGGTTGTAGGGTTGTCCTCATATAGGTAACTAGTTGTAGGGTTGTCCTCATAGACAACTAGTTGCAGGGTTGTCCTCATAGGGGTAACTGGTTGCAGGGTTGTCCTCATAGACAACTAGTTGCAGGGTTGTCCTCATAGGGGTAACTAGTTACAGGGTTGTCCTCATAGGAGTAACTGGTTGCAGGGTTGTCCTCATAGGGGAACTGGTTGCAGGGTTGTCCTCATAGGGGAACTGGTTGCAGGGTTGTCCTCATAGGGGTAACTAGTTGCAGGGTTGTCCTCATAGGAGTAACTGGTTGCAGGGTTGTCCTCATAGGGGAACTGGTTACAGGGTTGTCCTCATAGGGGAACTGGTTGCAGGGTTGTCCTCATAGGTATAAGGGGTAACTGGTTGCATGGTTGTCCTCATACAGGTAACTAGTTTTAGGGTTGTAGAGCTAGTCTGGCATAGAGTTGATGTCAGTCTACCCACTCTACCCTGACACTGTAGAATGCTTGTGCTAGACTGTTGATAAAATTCGATTAATGGAACAATGGATTATATTGGCAATGCTGTTTCTTGCTTCATCAGTTTCTGTATCAAGTTGTCAAGGATGAGAAGATAAACAATTTTCTGCATGGCTGTCAGTAGTGCTGGTGTGAAATTTGATTCAAACTTGGAAGTATCTAGTATAAACTCTGGTTGTGTGGTAAAATTTGATTCAAACTTGGAAGTATCTAGTATAAACTCTGGTTGTGTGGTAAAATTTGATTCAAACTTGGAAGTATCTAGTATAAACTCTGGTTGTGTGGTAAAATTTGATTCAAACTTGGAAGTATCTAGTATAAACTCTGGTTGTGTGGTAAAATTTGATTCAAACTTGGAAGTATCTAGTATAAACTCTGGTTGTGTTTTCTGTGTTTTTTAATATAGTTTTGTCTGCTCTTATACCAACTGTGTAATGAGTGGCATGCAGGTGGAAGGGTGTGTTCCTTGATCTACTAGGTTAAAGTATGGACAGGTTAAAGGGTGTGCAAGGGGTTGGCGTTGTTGAGTCGGTAAAGCTCATGGTTGCTAAACCGAAAAGTCTCAAGTTCGAACCCTCAGGCAGATGAGGCTCGTTAGCTGGGGACAGCCACTCTTCACTCCAAAACCAAACTCCTGCCTTGTAGTTTGTTCTTGGTTGGGCAAAGGCTATGGAAGCAAATCCAAAAAGAAAAGCAGGCTGAAATTGGAGTCACTGGCCTCAATGGCGCATAACCAGTTGACACATAACCCTTATTGTGATGGAGGGGATCCCTCTCAACACTAAAATTAAGAACGAAACGGAAGAAAGAGTGTGCTGTTTTACAATGCTAAATGTGAAGTAATGGGGATTTTCTTTGTAAGAAGTAAATTGACCTTGTATGTTAGTGCAAGCAATCAATTTAAGCAGATCTATTATTACACTAGTCTTTGCAACAAGTTGTTGTTCTTCATTTGGGATTTAAAACTTATGAGAAGCTTTGCAATCTGTACTTTTATAGTTAACCATTGTTTTATTAGTCTTTTAAAGTGTATTTTTAGTACTTTTATTTGCTGTGTGCATAACGCTGTACACTATTTACACTGCACCTCACCAACCATTAATACCATCTCACCTCTTCCTTCTCATTTGATGTGTATAAAGTTTAAAGTCATCTGAGTTTCTAAGTGTACATAATTTTTTTCTAAACTTCACCCAGCTTTAGCAGTATTGTTGACATGTTTTACCTCAATAGAAGACATATTTTATTTTTCATTTCCTGTTTTTTTACGCAGCTTACTTCTTAATATTTTGGTTTTCCCAGTAAGTTGCATCCAGTTTCTAAAAAAAACATAGCAACAATGTTATAGTTCACAATTTGTTTACATGACTATTTTTATTTTTCAAGTGTCATAAAAATAGCTTTGAGAAACTGTATTTCATCATCCATATATAAAGTTATTAATATTCTTAGCTTTGGTTTTCACATTTAAGTTAAATTTACTGTGTTATTATTATTTCAAACTAATTCCATTTAAAGCAGGTAATTAAGTATTTGATTTATCCATTCCTTTGGTAACTCATTACTAATAAGTCAAGAAATCAGAACATTGCCTGTTGATACAATCAAATAGACGTAATAGTTTTATTGTTGTGTTTGTGCTGACATTTATGGTGAACTTGTTGCCAGCTGATGTTTTGAAACTGCCTGATTCTTTTCCCTGACATTTTGGGTGTTGGTTCACCATTGAGGGAACCAACCTCTTGACTCATGCCCCCCTGAGTGTTTGGTACTAGATGCACTGGGTGGGCAGGATAGAGCAGTTCAGTGGGTGCACTGGATGGGCAGGATATGGGGTGCATAATGCACTGGGTGGGCAGGATAGGGCAGTTCAGTGGGTGCACATTCACACAGTATGTGCCACAATCTTGAGATTTGTGTTACATTGTGCCCAATTATTTAAAGTAAGGTTTGTGTAATTTGAAGCAAGTGGGTACCTGACACTACAAATATACTACTGTCATTAGCAATGTTTTGGTCTGAAAAATCTGTGTCAAGTGAATATTTTGAACCCTCATTTTATTGTCTTTTAGCCTGCATTCTGTGTAATCAATACCTGTTTTATTTATTTATTTTTTTATCTATTAAAACAAACACATTTTAATTCATTTTCAAAAATTCTATTTATTTATTTAATCAATACATATAGTGTTGGATATTTTAAAAAATACTCAAATCTACCTTAATTCATTTACCTTAATTCACTTAATTAAATCTTCACTTAATTAAATCTTCACTGTTTTATTTTTCCCTTTAATGTACCTTAATTCATTTAATTAAATCTTCACTGTTTTGTTTTTCCAGCATGCCAGGATGGGCAGGTGGTCCAGCACACTCCAGCAGGACAGTGTAACCAAACTTAGAGTGACTCGCTGACACTCCACCTAGTGCCAAGTGTAGATGAGGCAGTCTCAAAGATGCAGCAGCCTATTGACAGATCTATTTTAAAGGTGCACCTTCCCAATGGGGGCTTTAACATGGTCAAGTATGGGGACGCCACTGATGTTAAGGTAAGTCACTGATTAACACCTAATCTTTCAATTATGTCCTTCTACACAATGTTCCATCTAAGTTGCGCTGTTGCAGTAGTTGTATAACTGCGGTGCAGTCATTTTGTAAAATACAGATAACCTTGTATAATTCAGTACAGAGCACTGTAAACGCACAAAAATACTTGTTAGATATAAGCTTTTGCTTCGTAGAGGACATGTTGCTTCCACCCACTTATCCTATTGACCACAAGAGGGAAGCACCATTTATCTCTCACCATATGATTACTATTCTGGAAAATGCTGTTTTCATTAAATTTTCATTGAGTTATTATTGATCTTTTTATTCAATCAAACAATTATGATTTCAATATCTTATTTCAGTTAAATTCAATTTTTTAATTATAACATGAGACTAAATGGGCAAAAGCAATAGTTTATTAAAATCCAGCCTAAATGTAATGTATGCATGAGAACACCCACCACCCCACCCCCTCTAATGAGTAACACAAAGTAATGTATAACACATATGCCTCGGTTACATGAACAGGACTTTTCCTTATCTTCCGCACCATAGAGATAGTGCATTACTAGCTGTTTGCCAGTACATTATTTTTTTGGAAAAGATTTGCAGTTAATGAAAGGTTGCCTTAATTATTATTCTCAGCATAATTAAAAAGCTCCCTATATAGACCTCACACACAGTGGCAAAACAAAGTTGACCTGTGTTTGAAGGAATAGTGCACTAATTAAAACTTATGTTTTAAACCATGAACCATATTTGTGGTTAGTTTTTAAAGTGGTTCATCCTTCTCACCATCACCAGGACATCATTCGGCTGGTTGTGGGCCGTCTGGCCGCCGGGGATCGCTTCTTCGCACGATGTTTTGCCTTGAAGCTGGTGGTCATATCCCAGCGCCAGGGGTTCTGGCTCCACAACGACCTGAGCATGTACCAGGTCAGGCAGAAGTATGAAGCTAAGAGCATGCCAGATGATCTCAGGTAAAAATGAAAAAATGGTATGAGAGAGGGGAGCTTGGTAATATATTAGCGGTATGTTTAAAAAGTATGTAAGAGAAGAAGGAGCAAATGTTTATTAAAGGTAAAAAAAAATTTATTTATTGAAGTCCAGAGAATTATAGAGTTAAAAGCATACCAGATTATGTCAGGTATAAAAAATTTATTTGAGGGTAAAAAATTTTTTTTTTTTGCATAAGGATTGTACCAATGAAAAGGCTAATAATTGTGCTTGTAAAGTGAGAAAATTAGTATTTAGAATTTATGTAATCTTATTGTTTCTGAAAAATTCTGTGTGTAATTTTTAAACCATGAGAAATAAGATTTGAATGCAGTGTTGCATTATTGTGTGATCACAAAAAAGTGTACAACATTTATAAGGTATAGTTTCATGTTGCTAACCTTATCCTTGGCTAATGTTTGTTTTCCATTTTTAAAACAATTGTCTTATTAAATTATGCTTTGTTCAGTTTAAAAAAATAAACCTAATTTTTCCCTGGATTTCTAAAATCTTTTAGATATGAATTGAGGGTGCGATACCTGCCTAAAAGTTTTCAAGAGCTTCATCAACGAGATAAAGTTACATTTTATTACCTTTATGATCAGGTGAATATTGTTTTCCTTTTCCTGTTTTATTTTCTACCTTCTGAGAATTTTTACTTGATAAGATTTATTTTGTAGTTGTTATACAAGGTAAATAAATAGAGCTGACAATTATTTCCTGCAGGTGAGGTCAGATTACCTGAAGGAGATAGCAGATCTGGTGGAGCCAGAGATTGCCATCAGACTGGGATGTATTGAAATGAGGTAACTCTACCTTGTCTTGTTTTATCCCACAGAAAGCACAGGCTGAAATTTTTTTTTTTGGTATTTACATTTTATTTGAAAGATTGGCTGGAGCAAATAATTCTCTAGTTTCATCCAATTTTTGTGTATCTCTACCTGTTTTTTAAGCTTGACTACTTTTGAATAACAATAAATAGTTTTGATTACATTCTATAACCAATAACAGAAATATGAGTTTTGAATACTGTGCCATCCAGATTTTTAATATTACTTTAGTGTTATCTATTCTTAAAGTAATTCAGTTTTTTATTACAACACTAAGCTACTTTACTTTCACTTAGTCTTGTTTTGTAACCTGTTTGTGGTTGTTCATCTTATATGTTGCGCTGCGCACTGGATCCACCATAAAGCCGTATCTGTGTGTTCAGTGTATCATAGGCTAGATGGAGTAGCGGTAGAGTTCACCTATTTCTGTGACCTCGGCATAAGAAGAGATAGTGTGGCTATTTCTATGCCCAGCCACCTTAACTATTCCTAGTGTGAATCATGGTACTCAACAGGGCTAGGTGGACTCAGATGTTCAATGAGACCTTTGGGTTAGCAGTTGTGCATTCTAACTTAACTAAGACATATTTATACAAAGAAATTGTATTTATAAACACATGATTACAAGAGATCGAATACTAGAGACTTGGAGATGTGGCTGTATTTGCTTAAAGCTGATTGACAATAGCAATCTTAATGTTGATTACTTAAGTATTACCGGCTATGCTAATTCGGTACAAATATTATTACCTGTTATGGGACGGCATGGCCTAAACTGTAAAGAGCTAGGCTGCTAACCAGAAAGTTGGAATCCAGGTCCAAGTCAGTAGAACGTCCCTGAGTCCATCAAGCTCTGATGGGTACCTAACTCAGTTAGGGAAAGTAAAGGCGGCTGGGCAAAGTGCTGACCATACCTTCCCTTCATATAGGCTACCCTTCAAGAAACATGAACTCAATTCATCTGCCCAATGGATTACTAGGTCTAAAGAGGATTCTTTAATTTACTTTTTTTAATTATCATTATTATTAGCTGTTGATGGTGAAAGTTACAGTTTGTATTTGTTTTATTGTAATTTGTTTTTTCCACTTGTTTGCTCTACCAGACGTTTTTTTAAAGACATGCCTCAAGTTGCCTTAGACAAGAAGTCGAATTTTGACTACCTTGAAAAAGAAGTTGGTTTAAAACGCTTCTTGCCCAAATCTGTGATAGACAGCACGAAGGTAACTGGTTTTCATCTACAGCTTTTGTTTGCTACCTGTCTATGGCTTGTGTTCAATGGGTGTCGTGACATGGTTTATGGGTTCCTTTTCTGTTTAACTTCAATAAAACTTTATATGACTTCTGTTTCTTGGGTTTTATAGCTGCTTATACACATTGAGACTCTCATGCAACAGCTCATGTTTCATCTACCCATCAGATAACATTGGGAGATTTTAAGGGAGTTAATCTGTATACCCTCTTAAAGAGTTAATCAGGATACTTCATAAGGGAGTTAAAAGGAAATAAATGTACAAGGGGCTAATCCAAAAACATGCAAGTGGGGCTGATAAAAAAATTTCAAGGTGGCTAATAAAACTAGAAGTGGTATCTTGTCTAAGTTATATGTTTACTCTTCTTTTTTAAATTTAGTATTTTTTTTTAATTTTTATTTTACAGTCCAAAGCCCTTCGAAAAGTTATTCAGCAGCAGTTCCGCCTCTATGCTCAACTGACTGAGTCGGAGTGTGTTTTTAAATTTTTCGACACATTATTCACTGTGTACAGTTTTAACCATGAAAAGTTCCGATGTGCCTTGGGGGTGAGTGAGCCAAACATATTTTCTTGAATTCAGATCTAAATTTCAAATATTTTTTTTAATCATATGTAAACATAATTACTTTCTATATGTTGTACTGCTTTGTTTGTATATTTTTATTTTACTCAATTAGTTGTACATAGGTTTTTTAATTTTTTAATTTATTTTTCGTTGTGTTTACAGTCGAGCTGGAGTATTTCTGTAGAAATTGTGATAGGTCCTGATGTAGGGATTAGTTATTTAACAGAAAAAGCCTCTACGGTAAGAGACATTTTGAGCATGAATGAATGAACTGTTTAGTTTGTTCTGTCTTTCTGTTGACATCTAAGTTGTTTTTTTTTTTATTGTAATATTTGAAGCTTGGCTTGTTTTGAATTTAGTTCTACATCAGATTAGTATGTAGTTTTTGTCATGATATGAAGTGTGTGCTTGTTGTTTTGTTTTTACTCCATAGACCAAAATTTCACTGCTAAGTGTAATTGACAGCTAGATTAAATGTCATTCAGACAGATTTTAAGGCTTGTTTGCAAGAAATTATTTATACTTAGTTACACGATTGATTAAACCAGCTGCTTATTAAGACCAATTCCTGAAATAAACTGAATCAATTCCTAGTGCATAAGCATCATATTATTTTCTTATTTGGGCCAAAATTCTGTTTAATAAGACCCAACAAATGAGAGAAAGAATAAAAGAAACCACAAAAAGTGTGAAGAGTGGATGTAAATTCTATACAATAAATGTCTGATCTTAAAATAGCATAGGGCATGTTTGTGTTATCAGGACAGCCAGCAATTAGGACCAAATGATCAAATTGTGTTGTGGTCAAATTAATCAATGTCTACTGTATAATTGAGTGCCCTAAGAGACCAGTGAACTGAATATGTTTAATTCATTGTCCTCAATTACACCAAACTGGCCTGGCTACATTTGAATACATTCTATAACCCTCGACTGTCCCAAATAGCATCAAGTAAAATTACCCTTTCAAACCTGATGGTCCATGGGACAAGTGAAGTTTAGATCACCCGTTTTCAGCAGAGTCATTGAATTGTAGAGCATACAACTGCTAACCCAAAAGTCTCGAGTCTGAATCTGTGTTTAAGTTTGTAGAATGTCCCTTGGTCAACCCAGCTCTTATGAGTACCTGACTCGAGTAAAGAAAAGTAAAGGAGGCTGAGCATAGTGCTGACCGTTCTATCCTTTCATATGCTGAGTTTACAGAAACTCTTAAATAGACCAACATTGTATAAATTGTATGTGCCACAACTATTCCAAACAGTCTAAAGTTGAAAAATTCTTTATCCCTCAATCATTTCAATTCAATTAAATTTACAAAAATATTGTATATCTATTAAGTATTGAGGCTAAAGATAAATCAATTTTTGTTCCACAGCCGACCCACATGGCAGAGTTCAGCCAAGTTCAGTCCATTCAGACCATGACTGGGGATGACGGCAAAGGTGTGGTCCAGTTAAAAATTGTTGGAGCCTCCGAGCCTTTGACCATCACATGCAAGACGTTAGATGAGGCGGAGGATATGGCTGACCTGATAGATGGATATTGTAGGCTGGTGCATGACATGCAGAGGACGCTCTGGACTAAACGAGGTGAGTACAGTCACACAGTGTCATTTCAGTTGTCAGAATAGTGTCCTTTAGTGGTCAGGGTGTCCTTTAGTGGTCAGGGTGTCCTTTGGTGGTCAGGGTGTACTTAAGTGGTCAGGGTGTACTTGTGTAGTGGTCAGGGTTTGTAAAGTGGTCAGGGTGTGTAAAGTGGTCAGGGTGTACTTTAGTGGTCAGGGTGTCCTTGTGTAGTGGTCAGGGTGTCCTTGTGTAGTGGTCAGGGTGTGTAAAGTGGTCAGGGTGTGTAAAGTGGTCAGGGTGTACTTTAGTGGTCAGGGTGTCCTTGTGTAGTGGTCAGGGTGTGTAAAGTGGTCAGGGTGTGTAAAGTGGTCAGGGTGTGTAAAGTGGTCAGGGTGTACTTGAGTGGTCAGGGTGTACTTGAGTGGTCAGGGTGTACTTATGTGGTCAGGGTGTACTTTAGTGGTCAGGGTGTACTTGAGTGGTCAGGGTGTACTTATGTGGTCAGGGTGTACTTTAGTGGTCAGGGTGTCCTTGTGTAGTGGTCAGGGTGTGTAAAGTGGTCAGGGTGTACTTGAGTGGTCAGGGTGTACTTGAGTGGTCAGGGTGTCCTTGTGTAGTGGTCAGGGTGTACTTTAGTGGTCAGGGTGTACTTAAGTGGTCAGGGTGTGTAAAGTGGTCAGGGTGTACTTTAGTGGTCAGGGTGTACTTGAGTGGTCAGGGTGTACTTATGTGGTCAGGGTGTACTTTAGTGGTCAGGGTGTACTTAAGTGGTCAGGGTGTCCTTGTGTAGTGGTCAGGGTGTGTAAAGTGGTCAGGGTGTACTTGAGTGGTCAGGGTGTACTTCAGTGGTCAGGGTGTCCTTGTGTAGTGGTCAGGGTGTACTTTAGTGGTCAGGGTGTCCTTTAGTGGTCAGGGTGTGTAAAGTGGTCAGGGTGTACTTAAGTGGTCAGGGTGTACTTGTGTAGTGGTCAGGGTGTCCTTGTGTAGTGGTCAGGGTTTGTAAAGTGGTCAGGGTGTGTAAAGTGGTCAGGGTGTCCTTGTGTAGTGGTCAGGGTGTCCTTGTGTAGTGGTCAGGGTTTGTAAAGTGGTCAGGGTGTACTTTAGTGGTCAGGGTGTCCTTGTGTAGTGGTCAGGGTGTCCTTGTGTAGTGGTCAGGGTGTGTAAAGTGGTCAGGGTGTACTTTAGTGGTCAGGGTGTCCTTGTGTAGTGGTCAGGGTGTCCTTGTGTAGTGGTCAGGGTGTGTAAAGTGGTCAGGGTGTACTTTAGTGGTCAGGGTGTCCTTGTGTAGTGGTCAGGGTGTCCTTGTGTAGTGGTCAGGGTGTGTAAAGTGGTCAGGGTGTGTAAAGTGGTCAGGGTGTACTTGGGTAGTGGTCAGGGTGGACTTCAGTTGTCAGGGTGTACTTAAGTAGTTAGAGTAGGTTGGTAGGTGGATGGATAGGTATATAGATAGATGGATGTGGATGGATGGATATGGACGGACGGACGGACAGACAGTATGACAGACCCCATCCATTCCTCTGTATTTGAATTGTTTAGTACAGTGATTTTAATTAATAATTAAAATGACCTACCTCAAACCTCCTTTTACTGACTGGTTTTCTGTTATTGTGCTACACTTTTAAAAACGAGAAATATAAAAATACAGGGTTGTAGAAGGCAAAACAATATACATGAAAAGGGAAATAATTCAAAAAATTATTTTTGCCTGGCTGTGTTCCTTAATCTCGCTCCTGATGGGGTGCGGGCCACTGAGGTTTGTACGCGTTAAATTATCATTATCGTCATTCTGTAGATCAATGTTATGTAATGTATCACTTATCGTGGACTAAATTTAATTTTGTGTTAAGTGTTTAACTTTAGGTAAACACTACAGTTGTTTAAAGCAAAAAAAAAAAACTATGTTTAAACAACTTAAATCAGTAACCAGTCCAGTTGTTAAAAGTGTACTAACACTATCCCTAGCAGCGATAGAGGCAGAAAAAGAAACAGCTAGGAAAAATAGTATCATGCCGCGACTTGATGTTGTATAAGAACCATATAGTGACGCAACTAGCATTTATATAAGAACCATATAGTGAGTACATACATGCACAAACGCGCATTTGTTTCAGCTAACTGAAAAGGTCATTAACAAACTGTAATGAATCTTGTCTTCTCTAAACTACATTTACTCAAATCTTTACTTAATTAAAATACTTGATCTGAAATAATTTACTAATGCTATCCGTGGCTGCCTGGTAAAAAAAAACAGTCCGTATAAAAAATGTAACTTCCGCATCAAACAGATGTAGCAAAGTGCAACAGACGGAGAAAGGCAGATGTGCGAACAATGGGTATTCACAAGGTAAAGCACCATTGGGCAATAGCTAAGGGTTTCCTCAGTGAAACAGTGGAGGGCTTTGTTCGGGGTTTCCCCATCTTCTCTCCACATTTAGATTTTTGTTACTGTTTTTTTTTTCTCATCTTTAAAATCGGCTCTTCTTTATCAAGCTTGACACACATTGTTGCAGCTACCCACAGCTGTTGGAGTGTTGTGTACTGGCTGCTACCATGGGGTAGGGGAGGGGGGAGACCCTTCGGGTGGGGCAAGCTACCAGTAGTGGTGGGGGGGGGGGGGGGGCATTGAGAATACGTCACCATTGAACTGCTGTTGAAACTTGATGAAATTTTAAAATTTGAGAGCTAGAATAAAACCGGCTGAAATCGTTCCCTTTCACATACCCCCCCCCCCCCACACACACACACAACCCCCGGGGCTAACATTGATCGTGGGGTAGGGGGGGGTTGATATCGATTCCAGCACGTGCGCTAATGATTCATCTCTTCTTTGCGGTACCGTCTGTTGGGTGGGAGGGGCCTCTCCACCTAACATCTCCAGACTTCCGGTTCGTATTAGCACTTAATTACTGGACAGCACGATGGTCATTTGGCCATGGAGGAAACCCGAAGCCTTGTGCTAGTCTTGGCCTTGACCGTGTCCGACCCCTGGACCTTCAGGTTATATTTGCTGGACTTACTGGCATGTAAATAAAGTCATTGGAAATATGTTAAGTTTTTTACTTCTTATTTAGCCACATCAGTTGGGGGAAAAAATGTATAATGATAAAACTTATTTTTTTCCTGCTCATTCCTGTGATGGGTATTTCGCGGAAAGATTAAGTGTAATACTGTACATACTGTAATGTACTATTATGTAGTGTAATGTTCATTAGTGGAATTCGTGATGAGTTTTATTTTTGTGATAGTGGTTTCCTGTCAGTGGTAATTCTGTCCATGGTAGTTCAGTTAGTTGTAGTTATGTCAGTGGTAGTTCTGACAGTTGTAGCTCTGTGTTCATGATACCCCCCCCCCCCCCCCGGGTCTGTCAAATGACCCCTTTAGCCGTGTCCCTCTACAGTACGAGACACCCACCTGACAGTTGTAGTTCTGTGTTCATGATACCCCCCGGGTCTGTCAAATGCCCCCGTTAGCCGTGTCCCTCTACAGTGCGAGACACCCACCTGACAGTTGTAGTTCTGTGTTAATGATACCCCCCGGGTCTGACTGACCCCTTTAGCCGTGTCCCTCTACAGTGCGAGACACCCACCTGACAGTTGTAGTTCTGTGTTAATGATACCCCCCGGGTCTGACTGACCCCTTTAGCCGTGTCCCTCTACAGTGCGAGACACCCACCTGACAGTTGTAGTTCTGTGTTCATGATACCCCCCGGGTCTGTCAAATGCCCCCGTTAGCCGTGTCCCTCTACAGTGCGAGACACCCACCTGACAGTTGTAGCTCTGTGTTCATGATACGTCCCGGGTCTGTCAAATGCCCCCGTTAGTGTCCCTCTACAGTGCGAGACACCCACCTGACAGTTGTAGCTCTGTGTTCATGATACGTCCCGGGTCTGACTGACCCCTTTAGCCGTGTCCCTCTACAGTGCGAGCCACCCACCTGAGATATCGATTGCCCCCTACCTGGGCCAGCAGCAGCTAATGGAGACCTTAATGTATTGATCACTGCCGTGTTGATGCTGATGTCTGTCAAACAATGTATGTTTACTTTTGCTGCGCTGATCCTTTCATCCTGGAGACGTTGATGGAGCTGGCATTGCCGTAGATAACGTTGTGTTGTATGGGGTAACATGGGGATGGGCCTTCACTTTAGGCCAACAAAGGGATGGAGGTTATACCCCCTCTGGGTTACTAAAATTAAACTGCTAATTGGTTTGTTGAGAGTAGGTCAAATTACATCAACACCATAGAACCTAAGGGGCTGTTCATTTTTATTACTGATGTCTGACTATAGACGAAAATTGTTGGGTTAAGCTGTTTGTAGTATTGTAATCTCAAGTTTTGTTTTATGGTTAGAAATTAGGTTTACAGCCATGGTAGGACTTGGGTTGGGGTTTGAGTTAGGGATAGGGTTAGCATTGATATTAGTCATATTTGTGTTTAGTTAACTACCAGTAGTCTATATCCCTTTTTTAGAACCTTCTATTATTGTGCCATTTTCGGACATTCGTATAGAATATACCTCAAAGAAAGCTCCAAAATATTTTTGCCTTTATTAGATTTAAATGAGTCGTCTAGTTTTTTAATAACGGATTATACAAGTTTCAACGTGAGTAACCCAATGACTTGCCTTGTAAAAAAATACGTGCAGCCGTAGGGGTGAAGGAAAGTTCTTTAGGTAAATACATTAGAATGGGCTCCATGTTTCCTGATAGGCTTCACTTGACCAAGAAAAACATGGCACCCCATAACGAGCAAAGCGTGAGTGGTCTTCTCGGGGAGTTGAAGGTCCGTTTTATGAGCTCCCCCGAGAAATGGCCGAAATTGCTTTATTTATATCTCCCTGTCTCAGGCCTTGTTTTTATACGTCTTAATTTGCATAGGGGATAGGGTTTCTCTGTGTACGTCGGGCGCGATAAACAATTCTTGGCACTTTCTAACTGACCATTAACTGACCCGCTGCCCGTCCACTGGAGGTAATCACAGATATTTGGAGACTGACCACAGCTCCTGGCGGTCAGTTTGAATATT